CCCCAAAACCCCAAAACCCCAAAACCCCTGGAAGCTAGAATTCTTTGTGTTAAGCAAATTAAATAAGGGAATTTGATCATTCGCTATATTAATTAGTAAATCTAAGATGAGCAAAAGAGGTATTGAATTTGTGTCGTTATCGATGATTCTTGTGTAGGAAGAAGTGGAAGAAGTGGAACTAAACTGAGAATTTCATGTGGTCTCCCAACTGGTGCCGTTATGAACTGTGCTGATAACACTGGAGCCAAGAATTTGTTCGTCATTTCAGTCACTGCTATCGGTGCTAGACTCAATAGATTCCCAAAGGGTTCAGTTGGTGATATGTTCTTAGCATCAGTCAAGAAGGGTAAGCCCGATCTCAGAAAGAAAGTCATGCCAGCAGTTATCATCAGACAACGCAAAGCTTTCCGTAGAAGAGAGGGATACTATCTCTACTTTGAGGGTAATTATTTGAATGATAGCTAATTGATTTTCTAGATAATGCTGGAGTTATTGTGAATCCAAAGGGAGAGATGAAGGGATCCGCTGTTACCGGACCAGTTGCAAAGGAATGTGCTGAGCTATGGCCAAGAATCGCTTCAAACGCAAGTTCAATCATCTGAGCAAGCACAAATGAACCTGCAAAAAAATAATCAATCTTTACTAAAGATTTCACGATACTTTCTAATATTTAATATATAATTATATATTTTAATCACCTCTATTATCATGCATCTCAAGCTTCAAATTTTTAACTTCAATCATTCCAAACATTGCTTGTTTGCTTTTTGTGTAAATTAGATTAACTCTTTTAATCGTTAAGCTTGCCAGTAGATGGAGAAGCTAAGTTTTTTATTGATTATTGTTACTGCTGATTCAATTGCATCATTGGGTTCGAATTTTGCCTGTCTTTGATAGATTACATAAATTAAGTGAATTGCTTTTTCATATGCCCATATTAAATGCAGCTAGTATCAAGCCCAGTTTGAATTTTCTTAGTAATATCGGATAAATTTTCTGATACACTTTTCAAACAATATAGCTATTCAATCTTAAGCACACTATCATGACATCTTCCTACTATATTACTCAGAAATTCTAGTTTTTCCATGTCATGATTATCAAAGCCATTCGGATCACTCCTATTTATTAACTGTATTACTCCTCTTGGTAAATTTGCCAATGAATCAGATCCAACCTCATATTTATCTGTTGAGCAAAAAATGGGTACAGAGAGAATCTATTTTGCATTTTTCACTGTTAAAGTTTAAATCATGATATAAAAGCTTACAGTAGATTCCCTTTGGATCATCAATTTCATTATTAAACTTAGAATCTTCATCTATGTTTTAAACGTATAATGAATGTCCACTTATTGCAACATATCCTGCAATACCTCTATCAAGGTGATAAGTTTATAGATTATCTTCGTTTGTATGCTCATTATGAGTATACTTAAATAAATCCTTCTTAAAACGATCTACCAGGACCAAATTCGCTCTTTCACACTCAAATATTTGCTAGAATTAATTTTCTACAGTTTCAATAAACAGACGCATATTTGGGAATTGCAGGATACTATCTACCATAGTCAGTACTCTTCTTTCCTCATCATGCTCTTTGTTCATTTACTCGAGCATTTTAAACTATAAGGCATTATTAATCATATCTTACATGGAAAAATAGATGATTCAAGATACTTAGAAATAGAGGACTTGCAGCAGGACAATCATTTAATCCAAAATGCAAATTGTCAGAAGTAATTGTTGCTAGTTACTTATCATTCTATTTTTCTTGCTGCTATTTCTTATTGTCTTATTCAGGAGCACCTTTCATGCTTTTTGCATCTGAGAAATCTAATTTATTAAGCATACATATTGCTGCAATAACTTAAGTTTTCCTATAAATGAAAATAAGGCAAGTTAAAATATACTTTTTGTTGACAACTGGAACATACATAAGATTAAATGGTTTTATCTTGAAAACCTTTTACAATTCTCTCTAAAGATTTTTATCTTTTGAGATATCATTAACTATTATTGGTTTCTGTTCTTCTACTAGGTCTTCAAAAAATCCGTCATCACTTGCAAATTTATATTCTCTTCCATCAGTGAAATCTTTCCCAAGTAATTTTAATATTATACATTTTTCTACACCGTAAATTTATTCGATATCTCTTTAAACATCAATCAGTAATTTATCGATAGTTGAGTGGTTTTCAGCAGCTTAAATTAACCTCTAACATATTTCAACATTGTTTCTTAAAGCGATGTCTTGCTCATCGGGCATTTTTTCACCTAGACCTATAGAGCTCTTTTATTCTCTTTAGAATGTGAACATTCTGCTATTTCGCTTATTAAGATTTGAATAGACATTGCTGTTAACTTTTTATGGACTCAACACAATTTTGCTTAGATCTTCAATATTTTCATTTTTATTTAAATAAGTCCCAGCAATATGCTATTTTAGTAATTGATCTTTACTTTCTAGTTTCATGCCAAGTGTCTCATTAAATAGTTTCAATTTCATATTAGCTTCTTTAATCCTTAAATTAATCTCTATCTAATCATTAAGATCTTAAATGAGCTTGGTTATTTTGCTTCTATGATATCCGCAATCATTTTATAAATTCATTTTCGATTTCTGATCATCAAAAGATGATTCAAAGTCTAAATTTAGTTCTGAATTAACATTTAATTTTGTATTCGACATGAGTTCAATATTTAGCTACTGTCTATCAAGTTCTCCTTGAAATTTTTTAATTTTTTAATCTAAGGATTACTTGTATATAATTATCTCCTCTTCAGTCTCGAATTTGCCCTTTACAAATTCTGTCATAAGCCTTTTTAGAAATTCTTTAATTGTTTCATTAAATATATACTGGCATCTAAGTTCTTCCTGAATATTAAGGTACTATCCTTACTAATTTCTAATCTTTTCTTGAAGAACCTTAATCTGCGTTTAAGAAGGTAGATCTTTTACTCATTTATATAATTTTTCAATATCATCTGACTCCACAAGATTATCATAGATAATTGTAGTATTTGTCTTGTTATGATATCTTGTTGTGTTTAAGGAGGAAAATCAATTTGTCAATTGGTTGAACAGATTTGAGTTGGCATTTGAAAATCCTTTAGAATCAGAAAATGTAGTTTCCATTTTAGTATTTTATTGGGAGTTTGCTGATGCAAAATTAAGACTATTACTTGGATTTTATGGTAAATTTAGTTTTTTATCAAGATTCTGCGAAATACTAAGACTGTTGTAATTGTTTTGCCGATAAGATAAAGGCGATTTTATAAAATGCTGGTTTTTTTCACTTGCTTTTTCAAGTCTCGGGGTTTCAATGCTTGCTCTGATAAAGTTATAGTTATGTTTTTCTTTTATCAATCTGTTCACTCTGTGTCTTTAATTTATACCTACTCTTTCAACTCTAATATCATTTTAAGATAAATTTGTCTCGTATGGAATGAGTTGCTCTTTAAAAATAAGGTTATTAGCATCAATATCTTACTTGGGGAAAGAGTAGATAGCTCCTGATCTTAGAAATGCATGGGCTTAAAGTTAGATGATTTTCTCATTTTGGTAAAGAGTCCTCTTAAATCCGAAAAGGGCTTTTATTTTTTAAGATGTTCTACTCCTTTGTGTTCACTGCTCTCTTTAGATCGTTTATTAGATTATGTTGATTTATCCATTGTAAAATTATATAAGTTACTAGTGCTCTGTTATATTTTATTTTCCAAATTATTTTATGTAAAAGTTACACGGGGTTTTGGGGTTTTGGGGTTTTGGGGTTTTGGGGTTTTGGGGTTTTTGGGG